AAATTTTACGGCATTTCACCTGTAGTGCGAGTACACTATATTAGGCGGAAAATCTACTCGACTGTAAATTTTGATTGTTGTGGTGTTCTGTAATCTAATTTTTAACTTTTTAGCCGCAAAGGACCACAAGAACGTGTTATTGCGTCACCCTCACGTCCTAAACCCAATCCAGCGCCGGCATTCATGGCATCACTTCCTGGGCCGTCCACAGTGCCCTCCTTTAATCAAAATCTCAAAGCAAATGGTTTTGCAACCGGAATGAACAAGATATTACCGGTATTACCGGTCTTACCGGTCTTACCACAGAGGAAGTTTGAGTTCAAAATGGGGACGAGCTCCGACAGTCGCGGAAGTGCCAGTCAAATCAACTTTTCTTTCAAGGGAGGAGGGAATGTTGCTAGTGGCAGTCATCAGAATGGGATTGATCGAGAGATTAGTAAAGAAAACGGATTTGGTCCTCCCACCCAGATCCAGTCAAGGAGCGTGTTACCGGCTAAGTCGCTTTTTTCGCAGAATGGAAACACTGCTCAAAGCAACCGTTTTTCTTTCAAACTCAATCCACCAGGAAATCTTCCAAGAGTCAACTTTGGATTTCCTTCGAGTTCCAGGTAATTCCGCATTTTCCCCTCATCCGCGCATCTATTTTATGAATTAATTGCAGCCATCAAAGCAGTAATCAAATCAAGGCAAGAGAACATCCCAAGTCAAATGGATACTTCTCGGTCTCTTATGATGATCCTGCCATGAAGAAGCCTAGGTTGCAGTAGCTGTAAGTTATGACATTAGGTGCCTATTGTTTCAACGTTTTCGGGATGTTCACCTCATTCAAAAAGTTGCTCGGTCGTGTTTGAGATCACATATTTTTTCGTGACACTGCCTCTCTATGTTCGTGTACCTCTTTGCGGTTTGATGTTCAGCTGCAATTTGAAAACATAACTGCTATTGTGTAAACTGCATCAAATTCCTCAATATCCTATCCCACTTCCAAGTCGGTTGTTTTGAATCGAGAAGTGCAAAAGTTTTGTCTTTTCCTAGGATGATCTCTTCGAGTTTTTCGCTAGCAGAGATGTTATTTGCCGTTTTTGTTGGCATTTTTGTTGCTGCATGTTGGTGAGTAAGTATATGTAGTTATTTTATCCCAGTTTTGCTCTGTTGTGAATTATTGTTTTTCTTTGTCGTTATATGTTGTTTCGTTTGAAAGATATTGATAGGCACTATTTTTGTTTCACTTCCTCTGTAGTCGGGTAAGTCCCCTCTGCAGTGGGATTATTTGAGTTTATAAAGTTTTATTTATGTTTTCCTTGGAGAACAAGTGGGCATTGCATATATGCGTACAGCTGCTGCATATCACCTCTAAGGCACGCGCTATACTTGATCCGCTTAATCCACTTGA